TTTTTTACGACGGATTCGGATTTCTGACCAAGATATATCGGAGGTATCCGCAATCTGGAAACTATGAACCCAATAGTGTGTCGAGAGAGTGATGCAAAGTTTGGATACTTAATAAAAGCCTACCTCAGGAACTATTCGACTAATTTCGCTCAATTTATATAGAGGGTTAGAAATCCGAATAGATTAGAAGAAAATATATGTTTATTCAGAGAAAGTATGTGTTTGCGTCTGAATTCGTGATTTAAAATATCGGCTGGTCTGATTAACTTGCATAGTTAAAGTCAACCACTCAAATGTCTAAGATTGAGTTCCGGAACGTGAAGATCTGATCATTAGATCAAAAGCTATTTAAGGTGGTCTGCTTACGTTTTGCATTCTACTGCAATAATTAGGAGATCTCCCGAAGCAAAGATAAGTGGTTTTATTAGTCGCTGCAGAAAGAGCGAAGTCTTATAGACATCAGAAGATATATAAAAACGCTTTGGGAACTTTCAGACTATTTCTGGTATTCTATGAGTAAATAAATTTCCTCTTTTTTAATTTTAATTGAATTGCATCATGCAATGACTGGTGCATACGAATATGACTATTATAACATCTACACAAATTTAGCGCTCTGCTGCATGTTCACTCAGAGAAAGTATGTTTTTGTGTCTGATAAATTCGTTACTTGAGATATCGTCTGAACTTATTAATTAGCATATTTGAAGCCAACCCCTTAAACGTTCAAGATTGAGTTCTAGAATGTCAAGATTTGATCATTAGATCAAAAGCTATTTAGGGTGGTCAGTTTATTTTTGCTCACGACTGAAATGATTATGAGATCTCCTGAAACATAGATAAATGGTTTTGTTAGTCGTTGCAGAAAGAGCGAACTTTTACAGATATCAGAGAATAAATAAAAACTCTTTTGGAACTTTTAGTCAGCTTATTTTTGCTCACTACTGAAATGATTATGAGATCTCCTGAAACATAGATAAATGGTTTTGTTAGTCGTTGCAGAAAGAGCGAACTTTTACAGATATCAGAGAATAAATAAAAACTCTTTTGGAACTTTTAGTCAGNTAATAAATGAAATTCGAGTTTAAAGGAAAAGGGGATGTCAAGCTATTTTTAATATGAAATCCTATGCTTCATAGAAATTTCGTTATTCAATTTATATTTTACACCCTCGGCAACCAAAAGTTATGTTGAACATGATAATGTCTATTGAAATATACAAATTACCAATTTTAATTGCGAAATTTTTTTTTCCTTGCGATTATTAGTTATTCCCTCCACAATAATATTGAATATAAAAAACAGAAATTTATCTAAAATATTTACACTCTTTCAAATTATTTTAATCAAGTTTTTATGATAAATTTTACACATTTTATTTTTGATTTATTTCATTAAAAAGTTCGGAATTTTTCTAAAATAACATTTAATATAGGAAGCAAAAGGTTTAATTTCCCTCACTAATTTTAATTAGAGTGCAAAATTTTATCCATTCTCGTAGTTAATTGGCCAGGTAAGGTATTTTATTTTATAACCGTCGTTAAGCAGCCAACTCAATTTTTGGGTTTACGACTACTAATTGAATTGTGACATGCAATTACTGGTGTCATGCAATGCAATTGTTTTTTAATAAACAGAATAAATTTATTCTGTTTAATTTTCTTTTTAGTTGGGTATTTTTACTTATTGTGTGGTAAAGAACTATGATTTTCAGAACCAGAATTCCGGCAAACCGTTACTATATATGAACAGAAAAATTATCAAAAGAATTGTTTAAATACAATACATTTTAGTTCTTTACCAGAAATATCATTACATACAGTGCGGCAATTTTAGCAGAATTATTTTCTCCGTCTATTTAATAGATATTTAACAATCTTTTCTTGGAGATATTTCAATAAATCTAACGAATGCACAAATATCAATAATGTTGAGATGTAAAAAAAATGAATGTTGAGTTATTCCTTTCTTTTAAGAGGGACAGAAAATAAAAAAAAGAAAGAACGAAAGAAGATTTCAATGATTTTGTTTTATCAATATGCTAAAATGCTCCAATTGATATTCGGTGTTGGTTCAAAGAGCTTTTCAAGTGTAACAAAGATCTCTTTTCTTACCTATTGTATGAGATTTAATTAACTCGGAAAGACTTTTAAATTCCCTGAAATACTTTAAGCTGATCTTTTAACTCTTTTAAATGCCATATAATGTAAGCACTTCAAATAACAGAGCGTAATACGATGAAATCGGTGCATTTTAAATAAATTTTATGCAGTTTATGAAATTATAAATAAGTTAATCTGAAAAAAATTTAAAATTTATCTAGTATTAGTAAAAAATATTATTATTGTCTACAATTATACTTATTGCATTGTTAAAATAGCATTATAACACTCTACATAACAACTTATTAAATATTCAATTTCATATTTATATTGAATAACTTCATATTTATTTTGAATACCAGCTTATTTAACTGTCCTTTGAATTTAGTTTCTGTCATCGCAAATTTAATTATTTAAGGGTATTTTTAATTATAAAAAGATAAAGGAAGAAATGTAATATTCGAAGTTTATAAAATGTTCCCCATAAATATTTTACATCGAAATTTGAAACAGTAAAAAATTTTCACATTAAAGTTTAAAAGTTGTTGCAAAATCAATTTAATTGTCTTCTATTCTTAAATTTAATGTCGCAGTCAATTTTTATCAAATCTTGGCATATATTAAAAGTATAGTATCCATTTAAATATAATGAAATTAAAGTTCAGTATTTAAATTTAATTTGTTTAGAAAATTACAATATGACAAAAACTAACTTGGACAGATATAATACTATAATCTTATTATATATTAAAATGTTTTACATATATTATTATATATTAAAACGATAATACCTTTCATAAATTCATACATTTTCAAAATTATCATTTTTTATCCTGTTAACGTATTGCAAAATTTTCTGCTTTTAGTTACACATAATGTGACATTATGTTCAATGGTGCGCAGAGGTGTGTGGAAGCACGAGGTGCTAATTTACAAACAAGCGGCCTATAACGAGTCTCTCTCTCTTTTGGAGGTTTTAATACGAGGTTTGTAAATTAAATGGTGGCAACTTGATCTTGAAACTCACAGAAGGATGGGTATGCGCAAATAGGATATGGGTGCGGTAAGGTGGCGCTGTTGTAGATGTGTAGAGTGCAAAATACATTCGATCTGCTTAGAAGGGTAGTTGTTGTGTGGTGTTAAAGTGAGGAGTTTCGCTTCCATCGCTCATGTTTTCAAAAGGCTTAATGGCGAAAAAGACGAGATGCTTGAACCCATCGTGCTACTGCTCAATACGATAAAGCATTTGCGCCACAGGCTTCCACTAATCCTTGATAGCATTCTGTTGCATTTTTGCCACGGGCAACCTCGATTTTAAGCGACGACCTCTGATCACTTTTTGATCACCTTTCATCGCTTTAGAGCGATGGAAGCGAAACTCCTCACTTTAACGCCACACAACAACTACCCTTCTGAGCAGATCGACTGTTTTTTTTGCACTCTGCACATCGACAACATCTCCATTTCACCGTTCGCATATCCTATTTGCGCATGCCCGCCCTTCTGTGAGTTTCAAGGTCAAGTTGCCACTATTTAATTTACAACCCTCGTATATGATGTAGTCAGTCCCTATTATAATACAATCTTTTGTTTTTTAAAAAAATTTGTTACCTCAACAAAATGTCAGAAATCACGCTTTTCTTTATTTAAAAAAATGCTCTGCAGGAGAGCAAGTCGCTATACGCCATTGGATTGGAAAATCGCTCCCGGGGCTACCTCTTCAATTAAATACAACTGGAAAGAGGTATGTGATTACTTAATATCTGGATGGGGTAAAATATGGTTAAATTAAAAGGAGAAAATATTGGAACCATGTACATAAAACTTTAAATCCATATTTCAGATACATTTTAATTTAAATACTTGCATAAAATTTTTATTTATGCTAAATTTGCAGCAAAATATTCTTAGAATTTTCCTAAGAGTAAAAAAAAAAATTTAAAGTTTAATTGCCTGAAACTTAATAATTTAATTGGTTTGATGATCGTATTTTTTCTTCGTAAAATTTATCACTTAAGTCAAATATTCCCCTGATAAAAAATTTAATTTGTCTCTTTGGGTCATATCCGCTTTCCTCGTTCCTCTTCACACCATTAACTACATCATATTCCTTTTACAAAGATTTTTTAAGGGTCACACAATCTTACTATGTTTAGCATAGTTTTTTTTCCAAACTACAATAAATGGCGAGAACTATAGGATTCAAGTCTCGTGAATAAGGGGCCAATTCTTGTGTTGTAAGAAAGTCGGGAAAATTTCGTAGCACTACGCTATTTTTGAGTGAGTTATGAAGTCTAAACATTTCTGAAAAAATATCTGGCTAACAAATTCATGAATGAAAAATAACATGTAACTCGATGAATTAAAAATAAAAGCACGAGAAAATTTATGAAATGTTACTGAGTTTTGATGAGAATAGTTTTTCTTTTTAAATATAAGGTTTATACCAGAGTTGGCCATCGATTACAGTAATCGATTACAACTGTAATTGATTACAGATAATTACAGCTATGTAATCAATTACTTGTAATCNTTTTCAATCGAGTGTGCTCAGATGCATCAACGCAAGAAAACCATTGGTTTTTAAAGCGAGGGTAACTTAATGCTGCTAGTATAGCATATTCAGCAGTTGGTCCTGTAAGGGTTAGAAAAGCTGAAAATCGGGAATTGAAATTCTTTAATATTGATTGGCTAATTACATTGCAATACAGCATATCAATCGAACATAAAATTTTAATTTTTTTTTGTAAGGCTAATAAGGTGGGCAACGTGATTCCGTAAAATGTGTATTTTTCTGATTNACTTGTAATCGTGATTACAATTTTCAGAAAATTTTGATTACAGCTGTAATCATGATTACAATTTTGATTACAGTAATCAAATCTATCTGTACAGTACTTCGGTAATCTACAGTACTACAGTAATCTTCGGAAATCGGTTTTAAACATTTTAAATATTCTTCCATATAATCAAATTCATTTTCGTGTATCATAATTTTTAACCCTAAAGCTTTATGAAGGTTGACGTTTTTATCTTTAATGCTCAAAATTTGCTTCAATGCATCATATAAGCTATTCCACCGAGTGGCTCCAGGTCGACTTAAAGTGTGTCCTAAAGTATTTTTAATTATTTCTGCAGACTTAGGAATGTTAGAACGTTTCCAAAGATTGTTACATTTGCTAAGAACGTTCTGATGTATTGAGTTGAGTATTGCGTCACTTTTAATTGCTTTGTTGACGTCTGAAGCTGCAATCAAATTCAACGTATGAGAGCAACATCGTAAGTGTTTTGGTAAGCTCTTCCTCAAGTTATCGTCTACGATTTCGACTTCTCCGTCATCCATGTCTTGAGATATATCTGAGTACTCCCGAATTTTGATATCATCTTCTTCACTAGGATCAATGATATTCAAATATCCATCAATAATGCTGGCCGGATGTATGCCAAACATTTCAAATGCTTTCACAAAGTTGCTTCCATTATCGGTTATCGTTGCCTCGATTTTGTTAGCATATAACCCAAACTCATCATGAATCCCCTGCAGCATGTCATTGATTCTTTCATAGTTATGATCCCCACTGAATCTCAGACAGACAAGTGCTCTAGACCTTCTTTGCAAAGACGTCTGGTCGATCCAATGGGCGGTTGCACCAAAAAAACTCCTTTTTCGACCAGACCAAATGTCTATCGTGGTGCAAACATGATTTGCATTTTTCAATTCTTCTTTAACTAACACTACGTTTTTTTCAAAACATTTACTGAGTTGTCTCGCTAAAGTTTTCCGGCTGATCACTTTTAAACCGCAATTTTCAATGTTTAGTTTTTCTAAAATATTTACGAAGTATGGATCTTCTATACAATTTAAAGGTATCATAGAATGTGAAAAAAATTTCACAAGATCATCATTGAACATTTCCTGAGTGTAGGTGTTGCTTGAAGTGATGTTATCTGAGCAGGAATTTCTATGACTAATTTTTTGCATCTTAAGATGTGATTTAAATTCTTCGAGACAAACATTTCCATGTTTCCTTTTTAAATGCTTGTAATAATTTGATGTACAGTTCCTAAAGCCTTTAATTTCTATAATATCGGGTAGGCATTTTACACATTTTCCAACTGTCATACTTTCTGTACACTTATCATTTATTTTTTCAAAAAAAGTGCCATCCATAAACTCCACAAATCGTTTATTAGAGCTATCAAAAACTGGAGATTTCGATGCAGCTATCATATCCTTGTCTGGAGATGAATTATTAGCAGCATTTTCTGCATCACTTAACGATTGGTAACATTCCATAAGTTAATTATTTAAAATAATTAAACCAACGAAGAAAACTTCGGTTCTTAAAAGTAAGCGTTTAAACAGAGTGTAATAATTCAATAGCAGTCAACTCTTATATGTAATTCCCGTGGTCAAATCCTTCAGTTAGCAAAACTTGAGACTTCATAATATTTTTTNTAGCGATTACTTTTCAAGGAAAAGATAAATTTCTCTCAATTACTTTTATAAAAGGTTTTGGGTTCATGCGCACAACTGGTTCATTTTTTAAACAGTCTTCGCGGACTACTTATAAAAGACCGTGTGGAGGCTTCTTGATGTAGGAGGTGATGGCAGAGGTGTGTGGAAGCACGGGGTGCTAATTTACAAACAAGCGGCCTTTAACGAGTCGCTCTCTTTTTTGGAGGTTTTAATACGAGGGTTGTAAATTAAATAGTGGCAACTTAACCTTGAAACTCACAGAAGAGTGGGCATGCGCAAATAGCATATGGGAGCGGTGAGGTGGAGCTGTTGTCGACGTGAAGAGTGCAAAATACAGTCGATCTTTTTTTTTTGCACTCTACGCATCGACAACAGCTCCACTTCACCGTTCCCATATCCTATTTGCGCATGCCCACCCTTCTGTGAGTTTCAAGGTTAAGTTACCACTATTTAATTTACAACCATCGTATATGCTGTAGTTAGTCCCTATTATAATACAATCTTTTATTTTTAAAAAAAATTGTTACCTCAACAAAATGTCAAAATTCACGCTTTTCTTTATTTAAAAAAATGCTCAGCAAGAGAGCAAGTTGCTATATGCCATTGGATTGGAAAATCGCTCCCGGGGCTACCTCTTCAATTAAATACAACTGGAAAGAGGTATGTGATTACGTAATATCTGGATGGGGTAAAATATGGTTAAATTAAAAGGAGAAAATATTGGAACAATATACATAAAACTTTAAATCCATATTTCAGATTCATTTTAAATTAAATACTTGCATAAAAGTTTTATTTATGCTAAATCTGCAGCAAAATATTCTTAGAATTTTCCTTAGAGTAAAAAAAAAATTTTAAAGTTTAATTGCCTGAAACTTAATTATTTAATTGATTTGATGATCGTATTTTTTCTTCGTAAAATTTATCACTTAAGTCAAATATTCCCCTAATAAAAAATTTAATTTGTCTTTTTAGGCCATTATCCGCTTTCCTCGTTCCTCTTCACACCATTAACTGCATCATATTCTTTCTAAGAAGATTTTTTAAGAATCCTACTATGTTTAGCAAATTTTTTTTCCGAACTGGAATAAACAGAGAGAACTATAGGATTCAAGTCTGGTGAATAAGGTGCCAATTCTTGTGTTGTTAGAAGGTCGGGAAAATCTCGTTGCACTGCACCATTTCTGAGTGAGTTACGAAGTCTGAAAGTATCTAAAAAAATATCTGACTAGCAAAATCATGAATAAAAAATAACATACATCACAATAAATGAAAAATAAAAGCACAAGGCAGTGTATTGAACATCAGAGAGTTGTTGATTTTTGATGAGAATAGTTTTTGTTTTTGAATGAAAGGCTTATATGTACTAACTTGTTACGAGATTTTCTATTTATATTTGCAAGGTTAAAACTAACCCGTTGCGGGTATTTTATTTTTGTTTAGTTTTTGTGTGGTTGTCAAATAAAGGTGTTGGTAAAATCCTAGAATGGTCCACCCCATGGCGACTTTTGGAAATCTCGCCAAGTCGGCGATTTGGATCAACGCTGTTTTATTACCATATAAAAAAAAACAATTTAAATTATTACAAGCTCATTAAAATATTTTTAATAAAGTAAAATAAAAAATAATTTATATTATATAACAACAACATATCTCCCCGAAATATTTTCCAGAAACCTAGTTTGGCGAGATTTCAAAAACTCGCCAGGGGGTGTGCTATTCTAGGATTCACCCAAATGTGTTTTTATAAAAAAAAGATTTTTTTTTCCTTTTTTTTTTAAATATAGCTTGATTTGTTGCAGCCTTTATTCAAAGTACTCCTTAGTGAGTGCAAGGAAAGTTCATGGTGAAAAAAAATTATTTTTTGTTTTCTCGGACCTTTTGGAGCTAAGGAAGCATAATATTCTCCAAAATGGATTTCAAATAGGCTGCATAAAAATAATTGGTTTCAAGCTTTGCCCAAATAATATTATGTCGCCTTGCATTAGCATAAATTAAGTACAAATCCGAATTTGCAAAGTTTTAGAAAAATAATACTCTATACTATATGAAATACTGTAAATGCCACTAAATATAAACACAAATTAGTGAAATTATTATTATTTTAAAATTCGAAAATAAACTTCCTACGGGACTCAAAGATTTTAAATGATTAGAATTCATATTATTTGATATCATTACCGTTTAACTTTGCTTAAAGTGATAAATTATTTAATTTAATGCCATTTATGCGAAACAATATTTCAAATATATTTATTCCATCTCTAAAATTATTAATACAAAAAATTTGAAAGCTTTCCTTTCAAATTCGCTTTTAAAAGGAATATGAAATAGATCCTTAATATAATTTCTTTGGCTGTCAGCCCAACTATATATCATATCTTTCTAAACTACTATTGTCTTTCAATATGCATTTTATATTTCGAAATAGTTTAAATATGCTTGAGTGTTTCCGACAAAATCTATAATTTAACTGTAGCATTTTATCTACTATATTTATGGTTACTACTGTAAAAAAATTATATGTTTCATGTTTCTCAATCACATGTGTTTTAAACGATGAGCAAAATGACATTGTATTTTCTGATACAATTTTCCTAAGAAATTGAAAAACTCATTTAAATTGAAAACATTTCAATGAAAGAGAAGATAGTTTAGGAGAAAGAAAATTCAGCAATATTTTAAATGTAATCTGCTATTTGGGATTTAAATCAAAGTTTAAGCGATTTAAGTTTAATTTCCTTCTGCCAATTAATCAAAAATTATTTTAGCTCAATATTAATTAATTTCAATTTGAAGTAATGGTTTAACTAAAATCCATTTAATGAAATTTGAATTTTTATTAGTATATTGTCATTGATTTAATTGATAAAAATAATCGGAATCAGGGTTTTAATTTTATCATTGTGAAAATAGAAATTTTTATTTTAATATGTTCAATAAACTTGATAAAAATTGAATTTTGATCCAAAAAAAATAGCTAAATTGACTTTAAAATATTAGTTTGTATTTAAATTTATTTGAAATATACATTAATAAGAAAACAGTACGCTTAATAAAATACTAAATCTGCTTTAACTTTTATTTTCTTAGAACCAATGTTTTTAAATATTCATACTTTGCTCTTAAGTAATCCTTATAAGGAAATCACTAGGAGTCACTGCTTTAAATTTTATTTTCAAAGAACCATATTATCAATCTTGTTAAATATTTATTCTTTGCTCTTACGTAATCCTCATAAAGAGATCACTAGGGGTAACTGTTTTAACTATTATTTTCAAAAAACCATGTTATTAATCTTCTTAAATATTTGTTCTTTGCTCGTACGTAATCCTTATGAGGAAATCACTAGGGGTCATTGTTTTAACTATTATTTTCAAAGAACCATGTTATTAATCTTCCTAAATATTTATTCTTTGCTCTTACGTAATCCTTATGAGGAAATCACTAGGGGTCACTGTTTTAACTACTGTTTCCAAAGAACCATATTATTAATCTTCTTAAATATTTATTCTTTGCTCTTACGCAATTCTTAGGAGGAAATAACTGGGATTGATGTAAAATTTTAATAAAGCGGAAAAGTGTTTTAGCTGCTTTAATTGATCAGTTACATTTATTTGTAGCTCGAGAAGTTGTAAAATTAAATAACTACTTCGACCCCAGTTGAATGGTTTTAGAGTTATTCCTTAAATTCCTAAGAAGTGAAAAGGAATTTTAAAAAGTTATAAACTTCTGATGGAGCAAATGAAATATCCTCGTTGAAATTTCCTTTATAATATGTAAAAAATTGTGTAAAGTCCTAAGAAAGTTCTTGCTAGCCTTTAATTTAATTTTCGTTCGTAGCATACATTAAGGATTTAAGAGGTAAAGGATTTAATGAATTCGTTACGAACATCGAGCAATTACTTTGCGTAGATAAAGTTGTAAAAGTTATCTCTATGCACGGAGAAAAATTGCATTACTATTAAAAGCAATCAGGAAGTAAGTTCAAGAAAGATGCAAAGAAAAAACATGAGGGATTGGGATTAGACGGAAGTTTTCTGAAACAGATGATCATCTTTTTTAAAGGATATTAGATTTTTTTTAGTATTCTTATCGAAAGAGATTCGTTAAATTCAATCGTATTTTGCAAGATCTTCATTTTTGAAATAAATTAAACTTTAAAGAACTTATTTTGAAAGTTATTTTGAAAAATCTGTCCGTTACATTTTTATTCGTTCTTGATCAATAAGTTATCGAAGCACTGGGCAAAAATATTCATCTCCCATTCCTCCAATTTTAAATAGATTTTTTTAATGGTATATGTTGATTGGTCAGAAAGTTTATAAATAATTTATTCAATTAGCGGATAAAACAGATTTATTAAGGGCACCACTTACCATGTATCCTACACTGAGAAAAAGAGTGCTGTCAGAATTACCAGAATATGGTACAATTTACCACAGTCCTGGATCTATGGAAACACCAAAAAGATTAGCAATTTTTGCAGAAGCACTTTCATCACGATTTTGATAAAATTAACAATAAATATGGTTTAATAATATGTGATAAAATTTGGTAAATTCGGAATATTTCGTAACTTTATCATAGTAACTTCGAGCAATGCTCTTCACTCTTTTTATCACTACGGACCCGTCAACGGTTGAAAATTTTGCCGCGATCTGGGGAGAGAGACGTTGATTGCTTATAAAATACAATTACACGCACAGTATTGTTGCGGCTTCAGGTGGTGACGTTTCCCAACTCTCGGTTAACCTGCCATCCATGGTAGTCATACGATTCCAAGAAAAATACTCCACAGTAAATGAATAAATATGATGTTATAAGCACTATAATTTTGAAAACTGGAATTTCTGGTAAACAGTTACCACATGAACGGAAAAATTACCAAATGAATACCGTATATTTTTTGTTTTTATTTTCA